GGGCGGCGCTGGTGGCCGCGGTCAGCACCGAAGGGATCCAGCATCTTCCACAACAAAGGGTTGTCGTAGGGCCCCAGATTTATAGGAGGCATCGGGTCGCCGGGCCCCATCCTGCTGAGATCCTTCAAATACTCCGTCATGACAAGAAAAACTTTGAGCAAACTAAAAAATAAAATAAGAGTGACGCGGCTAGCCTAAGCCTTGCTTTCCCCCCAATAAAACACCAGAGAAAGAAAACGTATAATGAATACTTTTTTATGTCTCACAGTCTCCACAAGGAATTTAGCAAGCTCATTCCAGCAACCAATGACAGTTTCACCGCACATGCACATGACTTACACTCACCAAAACACTAACAAAATTGAGGTGAAGACGGTATGCGCCCCCCACCCCTCCCGTGCGGCACGGAAATGGTCGGGTCAGGTCGGGTGGGCTTTCAAAAGCTACCCTCTGCGCAACCTCTACGGTAATTGATTGAAGGTAAAGTAGTTCATCACTAAGAAATGCACTCAACAAAAAAAAAACACGCAGAAAAAAACAAAAAGTGAGGTATGACCATTCATCTCTCCGGCTCCCAAAAAACAAAACAACGACGCAAAGAAAGAACAAAAAAACAATAACAACAAAAAAGCGCTCAACAACGCCTCGAAATAAGTGGTGTAAATCAAAAGTATCACAAAAAACGCACGAAGAAAAAAAAAATTACCTTCGATTCTGGCAGAAACCTTTTCCTCCTACTCCTACCGGGTGTGAAAAAGCGGCAAAATGCGGAATTACAGCTCTATCCACTACGTTCAATGCTTCTCATCTCAGAGCAAATGCACCGAGCACGCAGACACACACACACACAAATGATAAATCAAGACATTTCATGATCACCAGGCTCGTTCTGAAGGCACAAAATGACAGTCTTTAAATTCCCGCTGCCGACATATCCCTCCGCTTGAAAGGTACCAAAAGCAGTGAGAGGGTTGCGGTGGGAGACAGAACGGCCCTCGCCGCCCTCATACGCGGTATGCTTTAAAGCAGGGGGGAAAAAAATAGGAGCATGAGAAAAGAAGTGCCAAAAACAGAGGATTTCAAACAAAAAAAAAGACGTTTTCATTCGGAACGGGCCCCATTTGTTCCCGCTTCATCTCCGCATAACATTATATATCAAAAAATAGGAATAATAATAAGTGCTATCTCTAACGTATTTCCGCCCAGCCCTATCAGGATCGCAGACAACTTTTAACGGTCGTACCTCTCATGTAGGATTCGGATGTATTTCTAACTTCCTACAAGTGAGATTGCAAGTGGCTGCTAACAACCTGGCGCAGTTTCTTGACGCTTGCTTGTCGATCCTTGGCTTTAAAAACAGCGCTTCCTGGAACCAGGCAGTTGGCCCCTGCAGATGCAGCGGCTTCAACGGTGTCAAGGGTTATATTACCATCCACCTGAATGTTCAAATGGGGGTAGCGGCCACGCAGCTGTCGCACCTTTGCAAGAGTTTCCGGCTTAAATTTTTGTCCCGAAAATCCAGGCTCAACTGTCATTACAAGTGCCACGTCTATAGCACCGTTCTCAATCAGGGGGATAAGACCGTCAATCGGAGTGCGAGGACTGATTGCAGTACCGACCTGCATACCGGCCCCACGAATTTTGCGTGCCAATGCCATTGGATCCTTGGTGGCCTCAATGTGAAAGGTGAACTGTGAGGCCCCTGCATGAGCAAACGGGCGTACCCATTTTTCAGGTTCCATCACCATAAGATGAACGTCAAGAAAGGTGTGAGGAAGATGACGACGCAGTGCAGCCACCATGTCGGGGCTGAAGCACATGTTTAGCGCAAAATGGCCATCAATAACGTCAACGTGCAGCCAGTCAACAGCGCCACCCTCAAAGGACAAAACATTTAGTGAATCCAGCAGCAACTGTGTTTGGTCTGCCACCATAAGCGAGGGTGAAATGACAGGGAAGAGGAGCTCTTTCTTCTTGCCGGACAAAAACGTTGACTTGTCCTGGTGATCAAACTTGCTCATTGGTCCTTAAGGATAAAAAAAGTTCCCCCTTTGGCAGTGCTAAGGCGGGGGGAAAAAATAAAAAAGAAGCCAAGGCCAAAGCAAACGAAGAAAACTCAGCAGGCGCCCCCCTCCCGGTTGCGTTTATTCTTCACAACAACGTAGCTGAAAAAAGCCACAATGAAGCAACAACAAAGCAAAAACTATTTATTTCTTTCCGTCTCTCTCCGGCCCCTGCAACTTCGTTACTCTGCTGGTTTCAGTGTCACTCGAAACACTTGAGATGCCTTGCTTTCGTCGTTCCTCATCCGTGCGGAGTCCGGCTGACACATGGCAGATGTGCCTCTTACAACCCTCTGGGGCGCACTAACGCCTACAGGGTTACACACACCCTCACACGTCCTCTCCCCCCACCTCAGCCAAGAGCATACACGGATCAAAATTATCATGATAAAAAAAGGAAAGGAACTGTCGCTAAGAGTCCAATAAATCCTTGTGTAGCAGGACGCACCTGAAGCGCCTGTGGGCATAGTGATGAAAGCACAGAGTATATGCGGTACATATAATGGTCCTCGTGAAGGGCCTCCCTAAGCCGCGGCGCATTGCTTGGTAGGAGTGTCATGGCGTACACCATATATCCAATACCCCCCAGAAAGGAAAGAAGCATTTCCTTGTACTGCAGCTTCCGACTTACACTTCGAGTGTCTGTTGCCTCAAATGAGATACGATGCATCGCCTGCAGTAGTACAGCACTTGTTATCGCCTTAAGGAAGTTGTAATAGAAAAAAAATGCAGGAACCAATCGGGAAGCATACGGCCACAGCATTTTATTCACCACGCCAACACTAGCCAAAAGCTCCACCTCCTCGCTCGCCAAAAACAATCCCAAGCAAATCGTAGTCAAAATTCGTGCAATTGCAGTGAAAAAAGCGGGCGACGTTCGCATGGTTCGGCGCATACCAGAGGGTGACAACTCCACAAAGACCACAAGCCAGTCGCACAGTCGCGTGACACATTGATATTCTTTCAGAAGCTTCGAGAGTGACTTCGCAGAACGTGCAACGCGCCAGTGTCCCGCCCACCCCGCCAGCCCACTCAGAATCAGACTACAGAACTGAACGATAGCTGGAACACGATCGCGACTCCATATCCTTGAGTGGGGGGACTGTAGTAAAGAAACCTTCATCACTTTTACTCCACACACACACACAAAACACAAGAAAAAAAACAGGTATTTAACAACAACAAAATACGCGCCAACGCATGCCCACCAGCAAGGGGAACGCAGAACAAAACGCGCAAAAAGCAAAGATCTCACGCGGTGACCAAAAAGAAAAAAAAAATATTTAAAAAATAAATTTGATAAAAGCGCTGAAACAAAAAATCCCAAAACAAATTCACCCGACACCGATAATGGCGCTCTTCACCCAACTCAAACAACGAGGCAGAATGAGCACACGTGCTTCACATGCTTCAGCAGCCAAAGTTGCACGCAGTAAACGGGAAAAAAAATACCTGTCAAGCAAAATAATACTACGCACGAAATAATTTCGTTTTTTTTTTGTCCGAGAGAACCCTTTACTGACGAACGCGCCTCGGAATCACTGCAGCTCCTACCCACACACACACACAGACAGACGCTTTTCCGAAGAACAAATTCACCCTGAAAAGAAAAAACAACAATTACCTACACAGTTGCGTTTCTCAGCCGGTAGAAGGAGAAGTC